AACTGCCATTACTGGGTAAACCTGTCTGTGACAAAAATGAATAGGAGTATTAAAACCTGTCTTCCTAGTAGAACAGTGCACTTATTGTAATGTACGTGCTGGTGAAGTCGAGGGTTGATTACAGGGCAGAGGTGCCACAGAACCGCTTCACTGTGTGTCAACTGTTTTAACTAACATTTGGTCTGCTTTGTAGAGGTTTTAATTGATCTTCCTCAGGCACGTGTACTCATTTTATTCCTCATGTGAGTTAACTTTTTTTAGGGATAATGAAGGTACTACAACCAGATACTCCGAATGGATTTGTATGCTCATTACTTGTTGCCATTGTCGCTGCAGCAGTAGACGGACGTCTTTTGAAATGTCTCCTGTGACTGGATTGATGCAGCTAATTAGTGAAATAGATTGGCTGTCCAATGAGGTTGAAAGACTATTTGAATTACCAGCATCTCACTTTAAAAAAATGAGCAGAAGGAAGTCAATATTTGCTGTATGTTTAACAAGGACTACCAATCGATTCATCTTCATCTTGTAATTTGTTTTTTGATGGATCTTGTTCTTATATTGATTGGTGAGATTCTTTTTATTAGTTGCATTTCCGTGCAGTAAAAACATTTAAATCTGTAATTTTGTCTGTTTTCTTTTTTTATTTTAACATTTCTGTGACATTTCTTTCTTCCTCAATCACTGTTTCTTTCCAGGACGTACCAGGCTGTGAAGCTGCTGTACTGTTTTGGTATTTTCATCACCTTCGCCCTGCAGTTCTACGTTCCAGCAGAGATTCTCATACCACCAGTTGTGGCTCGCGTGTCAGAGAGGTGGGAGAGAGCCGTCGACCTGCTGCTCCGCTCCGTCCTGGTCATCTTCACATGTAAGTAAACCAGTCAACAAAGTCCTACAGGCTCCATCCACAGTCTGGTGAATTGTTGCATTGGAGTCCGTGAAGGTGATAGAATTACTTTACATTTTAATATGCCGCAATTTTTAGTAATTTCAAGTGTAAAATTGATCTTTCTTTGAACAGTTCAAAGGTACAACGTGATGATAAACTTTAATTTGGCTGAGAGCAGCAGGAAACCAAAAGATGGAAATCCTGTTCATATTTCAAGGGAAAGGGAGGAAAGCTGTTGTAGGTGCTAGACTGACTCCCAGCCTGGGGGCCAAATCAAATGTAACCAAATCAAAGACTCGCAGCACCAATAAATGCACGAATTATGGATGGTTTCACCCTCATATCTTCACATCTTTAGTACATTTCATCCTGTTTGTTTTACTTTTGCCAATTATTTGATTTGATTTGATAGATGAGGTTAAGAACATGAATAATTAACTCTGATTTAAATATATTGGACCTACTTGGCGGCACTGTCGCTCAGTGGTTAGCACTGTCGCCTCACAGCAAGAAGGTCCTGGGTTTGAATCCTGGCTGGTCTTTTCTGTGTGGATTCTCACCATGTTTGTGTGGGTTTTAGGTGGGTTGGTGCTCCACTTTTCTCCACCATCAAACACATGTATGACTTAACTCCACTGAAATCTGGTCCCAGGCTTTCTGATTCCCTTCTCCCTTTCATTCTGTATTCTGATGCAGTCCCGTACAGTAAAGAGTAGAACGCCTTTGTTTCAGTCCTGAGCAGGAACAAGAGATTGTGGTCTGTTTTGTGCTTCCTCCATGGCTGCTGTAAAGCTTTTGAACTTACTTCTGTAGTGCGCCTGGTGTCTTTTATTGTATTTTTCATTAGGTTTATTTGTACAAAAAATGGAGCAGTGACAATCAGCATGCCAGCTGGCACTTTAATGGGATCCCAGCCCACAAATGAAGGCTTTTTGTTTTTTATTAGTCACAAAATGAAAAGTAGTTCAAAATGTGCAAGAAGACCACATCTAGGATCTGCCTGTTATTTGTAAAGCTCTATCTTTGTTTAAAACTCTCATAGGGAGGTAAAAATGGAAGGCATAATAATTGGGAATGAATAAAATGGAATAATAGCAATGTAGCACGTCTCATTCATGGGGTTTTGATCAGAATAGCAAATATATACTCAGAAGGTTGCTGGTCTGAATCTTTGATTGGCTGTGAAAATTAGCAAGGAAGTCTGTTGAATCCCTCAGTTTAGCTGATCAGGGAAATCAGTTGCAATTGGTTACTGAGGGAAGTGGAATCCCCTAAGAACTACTGAGGAACTACAACTAGCCCTCTGCAACCAATTAGTTCCAGGTACTAGATAGCCACAGAAAGTAAACTAGGAACTAAAAGTCCGTTTTGCACTTTCCTGTTCACAGTCCTCTGCATCTGAAGAACCGTGAATAAGTAATAGCTGCCCTTCTGTTAATGTTTTCTGCCTTTGTTAGTCTGTGTCTTGCAGAATGTCTTTTTAATACCTCCAGTTCTTAATGCCCATGGGTGTCTTTAAAACAGTGAGGCATTTTAAAATGTCTCTACATTTACTGTAGGCACTATATTGGTGGTTAAATATGGCAGCTGAAGGTAATTTTCTGTGGTCAATAGAGTCCAACACTACATAGGTCAAACATAGGTAGGTGTGTGTGTGTGTGTGTGTGTGTGTGTGTGAGTGAGTGAGAGTGAGAGTGTGAGAAGCCTCATTTCCATCCAGTGCACCGTGTAACAGTCGTCCTTTGGCCCCTGTACTCTCAAGGCTTTAGCCTTCACAAAGCTCACTTTGTCACAGTTAACAGGCCGGGGCCTGCAGCTGGGTTGCAGTGAGTGGCGGTCCCCTCTTGTTGCTCCCACACTACCAGAAAGGAACCCCTCGAGGTATGAGCTGTAATGACAGGGGAGATGCCAGGAAATGTTTTAATCTGTCTGGAGAAAAATGTGTCCCAAACTAGGATGAGACACAGGCAGTTCAATAACACTGCAAGAACTATAGTGTGAATACAGCTCTGGCTTCTTCTTGGTCAGTGTTGGTGAAACAAAAATGTCCCTACAGTTAATGTTGATATTCATGGCATTTTAATTGCGTAAAGGCACAGGTTTGTTGATTTACATAATGCAGATTAGAGCCTACTGGATTTTTGAAAACTTTTGGTAATCATTATTTGTTTTTGACGGGCCATATAAAGAGTTGAATATCAGCTGGCTGGTATGCTGATACTGACATCTGTGATAAGCTAAGATGAGTTGACATTATCAGCCATGTCTATCAGGTTCTAGTGCAGAGCTTTATCTCACACTGAATTCTTAATATGGATGGAATGGGGGAGTTGCATAGACATGAATAAATATTTAAAAATAATCATATTTTACTTCATTTCAGTTTATTCAATTAGAAAAAAAAGTCATTGTTTACTATTTTGCCAGCCAGATATTGTCAAGTTACAGCTTTTCTTAAAACATGTAAAGAGTATGTGCTGGTGTAAGAAAGAGTATGTTTTAAGGTTGGGAAGGTTAATGTATACGTTGTTGCGTTAGGGGTGATGGTTTTTTGATGGTTATGGGTTGTGTTTTATGGTAGGAGACGACCGGTCAGGCAGTTTTGTTTCGCAGTTGGTCCACACAGGTTCAACAGACCATTGTTTGACAAGACCCTAAAAAAAATGCCCAAGTGTTAAATGAAGATTAGCAATGTAGCTAGGACAACAGCTGTAACCTTGTTTTAGGTGAGTTGCTTACGCAGACGGCGGTATTATAAGGGCCAAGCATTTTTTTTTTTAAGAAGTTTCTTGGAGGGAACGTCTGATGGCTGTGTCTTCCCCTCAGTGTGGCACTGGAGTAACAGAGGAATTTGACTTCGCTTCACTGCACTGGTTTTGTGTTAATTCTTCAGCGAGAGACTAGCCAAGTCTCCATGATTAATGGCAAGAATTTCCCCACACCAGAATAACTATTTCATCGGAAAATCGATTGATGAGAAT